TTATTTTTTCTTAATAAATAATAAATAAAATATATATTGCGAAAATTAAAATGCATTTGAAAACGCAAAAGCAAAGCTTTTGAGTGGCTCAGTTCATGAGAATTGCTGCCTCTCAATATTCCCTTGCCGCAACCGCTTTCGAGTGCCCTTAATTATTTGAATCCTTTTCGGGTTGTGTCTTGTAGTAAATTAATTGGAAGCTATACACAGGAAAATAAACAACCCGCGGCTCTGAAAATTTCACAAAAATATACTGACAGACGCTTTACCACAAGTCATAAACATTTCCAGAATATTTTTGGGCAAAATATAATCGCATATAGAAAATGCTGCATGGATATAGACTTTGTTTTATTTTCATATATATATATATATTTTTTTTTTTATTTTTTTTTTTTTGCAACATGAGAAGTGTAATTGTAATTTAGCAAGGCGGCGGGGGGAGTTGCTTTAATCGTTCGATGCCTGGCTGGGGAGCGAGTGGGGATGGGGGTGGTGCATTCAAAAATGCCATTCAAATATGAAGTTGTTGTTGGCACAATGTATCTGCATCTATGAGTTGCAAATGTATCTGCTGCAAATGGGGTGTCTAAATTTAACAGCAAAAAGTTCGTACGCAAAACAAATGTTTTTGACGCATTTTTCGCAACGTTTCGGCTGTGGGGGGTATGTGTGTGTGTGTGTGTGTTGGGTCGAGGCTGGGTGTGGGGTGCGGGGGGCGTGGCTGGCGCCAAGCATTTTACAGTTTTTATGACGTCGCCGCGACTGGCGTCAGCTTCAGCATCAGCATCGGCATCAGCGTCTGACGCGTCCGTCACCGCAAAGGTGTCAGAAAATTGCATGCAGCAATTTCAGCCGTTTGACAGATGGACACGAGACGGCAGGCAAGGGAACGGAATGGGAATGGGAATGCAGTGGGAGTGGAGCGGAGTTTTGAACAGCGTGTGATAAAATCGTGTGTCAATTCGATTCTTGACGTTAACCGCCGCCTAAACAACAGCAACACACAAAAACAGAACAAAAAAACACATCATTTTTTTTGTTATTACCTAGAAATGAAATTGGGGGAGGGGCTGAAGGGGGCAAAGTGTCTGTGACTGTGACTGTGAGTGTGCCACGGTTTGTTGCAATAGAAACGGACGCGCAACATGACAGCTGTGGCACCGAATTGGCAGCTGCAGCAACGCAATTGCGGGCAACCAAGATTCAACGATGCCGTCGACTGTTCGTTGACTGCTGACGGTGACTGTGACTGCTAACGGTGACTGCTGACTGCTGGCGGTGACTGTGACCGTGACTGTGCCTCTGGTTGTGACTCTCCATGTTGCAATGTGGGCGAGCGAAAAGAAATGTTAACCGGTTCGGCCATCAACTGACTGACAGCAGAGCGACAGCCCTGCCAAATGCGGCATGCGATGGGGCAGTGGCAACAGTGTGGCAAGGTGTTGACTGTCGCTGTGTGTGTGCAACACTGCACATTAATTGAATCAATTCCATTATATTATTGCACATCTAAATAAAATATATAAATTGATCCATTTGTCAGTCGTCTAACAGTTATTTATCTCCACATTTTAGCCAATTAGTGTTATAAATTATAAATTGATTACTGCTTTGTTTGATGTATTCGAAGAGATAAACAATTTATTTTTAAGCCTGCCAAGTATGAGTGAAAAGGATATATTGGAACTATGCAAAAGTATGCAGAAGTAGGCAGAATAGATAGATATATATATATTCTATCTGCTTCTCAGATGCTGAACAATGAGTTCTTATATACCCCGGATAGATCAAGTTTAGTTAATGTTATCGATAGCTGCGCGTTTCGCAAATAACGCGATACAAATCGATTTCCGATAGTCGTAAAATACGCCATTTTAAAGCCAGAGCCTTCCTATTGGAATATTATATACCTTGATATATTGTTGATCAACTGCACAAATATCAAGAGATCGAATAAGAAACACGCAAGTTATAGTCCAAAAATAAAGAGCATTAAATATGATATTGTACATTTTATTAAATTCTCTAAATATTCATAAATTTTATATTCTTTCAAAATCTACATGCATAAATATGAGCGTAATTTGATGATTTCAGTGATTTTTAAGCTAATCCCGAATGTTTTACAATCCACTCTTGAGCCTTTATTAAACATAGAATGCTATTTTATTTGATTTGATTTGATTTTATTTTATGGCAAGCCTCACTCCAAAGATTTACTCTGTTTTTGCTCATCAAACAAAGGCAGGACAACAAAAAGTGCATTGTGCAATTGAAATGTGACAGATGAGAAAGAGAGAGAGAGAGAGAGAGAGAGAGAGAGGGAGACAATGAGAAAGAGAGGGTTGGGTGGTTTTTCTTTTATTTAGAGGTATGGCAACATTCCGTTGTGTCACATTTCTAGCCCACAAACAAAAAATAGCGAATCCAACTTTTGACATGTGACAGCAGTTGGCGTTGCATTTTGGCCACAATTGTCAGGTGCCGCGATATTCGAGGACCTGTCAATCCGATTTCAGATATTTGAGCATATAATGGTCGAATATGAGCAGAAAGAGGAGGAGGCGGGGGAAGTGGGTATAAGCTCAACAAACAGCTCTTTGCCATGAATGCAACAAAGCAAAAAACAAAGAGTTGCATTTTTATGCCCTCTGTCTTTAAAAAAATATATATGCATTGATTTAAATTGTAGATTAAAGAGTACTTCATCTATTATTTATTTTCAATTTGTAAGAAATTTTGAATTTGAAATTTTTGTTTTCTTTGCAAATTCAGAAGAGTTAGGAAACTCTAACAATTATAAATATGTATCTATGTGGAAATGCAACACTGCGTATGGTGAATATGTTGAAAACTGCCACATTTAAATTTTGAGACGAGATAAGAAAACTCTGCGTATGGTGAATATGTTAAAAACTAAAATAGTAACAGAAAATAGCAAGGAAAATGGCAAGCAAGAAAAAAAAAAAACAAAAAAAGAAACGAAAATTTTTGCTTAGAAACGGCGAACAAGAAACACAAAACTAATAAAGATGCGTAATGGTTATCTGCGCAAAAGTATCGGAAAATAATTACAGACGCGCTCAAAAGATGAAAAACTCGACGAAAGCAAACGAAAAATTGATGAAATTCAATTGCTTCGGAACGAAACAAATTCATTTTGAAACGTATGCAAATCAATCAAATGCTGCAAGTCATGTTTCGCACTCATAATAATTGTTAAGCAAACCACAGGCAAAAAGGCGATGTTGTCATGTGCGAAACGAAAGAACTGCCCATTCCACTGTTCCGCCTGACGCAGCCTCAACTTTTGCGGTCGCCAGAAGCAGAGCAGAGCAGCGCAGCGTAGCGCATTCAACAATTGGGCAGCAGAGACAACAAAGAACAGGGTGGGGGTGGGTGGGGAGGGGAGAGGGTGTTGATTTAGCATTTTATTTTTGTACGCTTGATGCAAAGCAATAGCCACCCAGCAACCACGCCGTTTTACGTGTTCAGTCTGCGCATGCGTCGTCGTCGCCAGCTGACTGCGGCAACAGTTTTGGTTATATGTATAGCCGTCGCTTAGCGACTTTGGCTCTGGCATGAGGAGAAAGCCCCAGCGAAACGTTCGAAATACAAACTGAAACAAAACGGGCAGCGGAACAACAACTGCAATTCGACTCTGAGAGCGAGCGCACGAGTGTGAGTGAGAGAGAGAGAGAGAGAGAGAAGACGGGGTTTGAGACCGGCCCCCACACACAAACACCTGTCACAATGCACATTATTGTCGCACTGCACAGCGTCGCTCTCTTCTCTCTGTGCACAGCGCTCTCTTCACTCTCACACGTGCGCTCGCTCTCAGAGTCGAATTGCAGTTGTTGTTCCGCTGCCCGTTTTGTTTCAGTTTCAATTTCGAACGTTTCGCTGCAGCTTTCTCCTCATGCCAAAGCCAAAGTCGCCAAGCGACGGCTATAAATCAAAACAAAACTGCAGCCGCAGCCAGCTGGCGACGACGACGCATGCGCAGACAGCAGACAGTAAACAGCAGCAGCAGCAGCGACAACATCGCTCTCTTTGAGCACGACGTAACGCTCTCTTTCTGCCTGCTGCCGGCATATATCAATTTAATGGGGAAAACGTCGTCGGCTCTCTCTCTCTCTCTATCTCTCTTTTACGCCACAACTCATTTTGATTGCCTTTGCTCTCGCTGCCGCTGTTACTGCCGCTGCTGCTGCTGTTGCTGCTGTGGCTGCTGTCAGCTCTCAACGTTGTCAGTGTCAAAAAGATGTTTTAGTCGACAACGGCAGCGCTGAACGAAATCATGTCGCATATTTTCATTGTTGGATTTTTGTGCGCAAGAAATTCAACGGCGACAGCATTTCCTCGGGCAGCGCAGTAAGCGTCGCTGCCGGCCGCAGCGCCAATACCAATACCAATACAATTGCAGGCAACGTGTGCGCGCGTGTCAATCAGTCGACGCTAATAAGTCGCCTCAAACGGTTTAACCGTTTCAAAAGTACTTGCAGTTTTTTTTTGTTGCTCTTAACCGTTTGAAGCGCGCGCGTTTTTCTAGTCGCCAGCAACAACTGCAAAAAGAATAATCAAAAAAATAATAAAAACATACGCAAAACACAGCAGAAGAAGAAGAAGCAGCAACAGCAGCAAAGAATAATAATAAATTTTGAGGCAAGCGTCAGTAAATCATTAAATTAATAGCCTCACACACACACACATAGACGGAGAGACATACAGGCAGACAGACACGTGCATGTGTTGGTGGCATTCGCCAGGAGAAGCAGAAGTAGAAGCAGAAGAAGAAGGAGGAAGTAGAATAAGAGGAAGCACTGCTTGTGCTGCCTTTTCGAAATTGGCGGCAGTTGACCGCAGCGACGACGACTGCGACGCATGCAGTATACAAACACCCATACACACAAACACACTCACACAAACAAACAAACATATTGAGTAAGCGAGAGTTCGTCATCAGCAGCAGTGTGTTGGAGAGAGAGGGAGAGGGAGAGGCGCCCATTGTGACATTTGATTTATTTGACGTGTGTGTTTTTGATAGAAGCTCAACACGAAACTGACACATTCACACACGCACACACACACACATACGCATACAAAGTGAAGCAGACGTTGAGTCGACGGCGCCGCTCTTAAGAATTTCGAATGTGGAACGAAAATAAAATGAAATACATTTAATTTGTGTTTGTATATTGTATTGCATTGTTTCGTATGCGTGTATTTTGGATTTGGATTTGGATTAGTTAAGTGCCAAGTGTGACCAACAACAACAGCAGCAACAACAACAACAAACAAACAAATGCAAAATTAATAACGGCATTAAAACAGCACAAATAAAGTGACAAAATGATGCTACACGAAGCGGTTATGTTGGAAATCTATCGCCAGGCGCTGAGTGCAAGGTGAATTTTGAATACCGTTAACGCAATTGATTTGATTACTTAATAAAAATATATTTGTGCAGTGCTGAAAAGTGTGTTTGCAGTGCTTCTAAGATAGACAAGACGAAGTTAGCCATTCTTTGACAACAGTTATTCAAGTTTTCGGCTCGAATTTTAATTTTGTTATTTAGTTGAGTGAATCAAATGGAAAAAATAATCAATTCTTAAATTGCTAAATACTACTTGCAATTAGTTTTCATTATTAATGCTAAAGTTTGCATTTCTTCTATTTGTTTACACAAATAATTTGAAAACTTGCCTGTGATTTCATCTTTTTGTTTTCGAAATATCTTTTGTGAGCTTAAATCAATTTGTACCAAAGATTTATGGTTTTTTCTTTTCTTTTCGAGAACTTAAAGTTTCCATAATTTAATATTTATTTGTGATTTCGCTAAATAAAAAACAATTTTGAGTTATTATTTGTACTATTTATTATTATTAAATATATATAGCTATAGTTTCTGGCCAAATATTAAATTTTCTTCTTCAATTTATTTGGTTAATCATATCAAAATTAATAATCTGCTAGTTTGTCTAATATGTTAATCATTCAACATTTATTTAAACACTTTTTAGCCAATCCAAGGAATAGTTTTTTTTTGTAAAGCTTCCGCAGTAATATTCTGCAGTTGAGTTAGTTTAAGCCAATCTCCGCTGAAAAACAGCCAAATATTTCTTTAAAACTCTACTGTAAATGCTGGCAATTCATTGAGAATTATGATGAATTATGGTTGAATTTTAATCTCAATAATAGATTAAAGATGCAAATATATTTACTCCATTTATTTACTTATTATTTATAAAGAGTCAATTAGAACTTATTGTTTAGTTATTTGTCGCCAAACAAATGAACAATTCAAATACCAAAATATTTTTGTATGATAAAATTAGGATTGTATCGCTAAGAACTATTTCCAAATGTAGAATTAGAGATAAGATACAGATAGGGAATGACTTGAGTTAAGGGAATATCATTTCAATAATGATTGTAAACACTTCTATTATGAACTCTTCTCTTTTCATCGAGAGATCATCGAGAATTGTATTCACTATTGTAAATATATCTTTTGATCGAGAGATCACTGTACGGAGAAATCGAGAAATAACTGTGATGTATTCCAAGCTTATCTTTTATCAACTCAATTGACAGATCACTGTAAGGCTATTCCATTAACTTAAGTCACATCGAGAGATCACTGTAATTATGTTGCCTTAATTTAAGTCACCATTTTCATAAAGAGATCGCTTTCATCGAGAGATCACTGTAATTATAATTCCCATTCTAAACGCATCTCTTATCAACTGTTCTCTCTTTCTCCTTATCTTTCTCCCTCTCTCTCTCGCTCTCCATCTCCATCTGCATCTCTGTCTAGTGAGCTGGCGAGTCCTCGCTGTCAGTCGAGGGAGTCGAATGCATCTGCTGCCGCTGGCGACGCTCGCTGCCCGTCGAATGAATCCCACTGCTCGGCCAATGATTGCCTGACGCCGGCGCCGACGCCGACGCCGACAGCGAGTTCACCGGTTGGTTTGCCGTTGACGGCAACGTTGGCTCCGTCCGCGGCTGCTGCGCTGCTGCCGCCGCAGTCGGCAGCGATGGCTGCCTATTTGGCGGCCGCTCAACAGAATCATTTGCTGCTCACAAATCCGTTGGCAGCGGCTGCCTCGCTGGTGCAGCAGGCGACGTCGACGTCGCACCAGGAGCGCGATCGGGAGCGGGAGCAGGAGCCGGAGGAGGAAGAGGAGGCGGAGGTGCCCGCTCTCGACTTTAGCCGGAAGCGCAACTCGAGCGACTGCGAGGCAGCCACCGGCAGTGAAGAGGAGCCGGAGCAGGAACCGGATGCAGATGCGGCGGAGGTGGATCACGAGTCGGCTCCACTGGATCTATCTGTGAGCACGCGCAAGCGACAAACGCCCAGCTTGGAGCAGGAGGCACCAGTTCACAAGCAGCCACGTGGCACGGACTACAAGTCACCCCTACCCCTGCCACCCGGCAGTTGGGTGCCCCCCATCAATCCGTATCTGGCCGCTGTGGCGGCAAAGTCAGCGAAAATGGCGCCAAGTGAGGCGAGCAAAGCGCTGGAGAAGATGAGCGAGATGAGTCGCAGGGAGACACCACCACCACCACCGCCCACAAATAGAGTGGGTGGGGGGGCAGGTGCGGGAGGTGGGGCAGGAGGAGGATCGGGTGGTGGTCGCCACAGTGCCTGGCAATCGCATTGGCTAAACAAAGGAGCCGACGCTGCCAAGGATGTCTTCAAGTGCGTCTGGTGCAAGCAGAGCTTCGCCTCGCTGGCCCTGCTCACCACCCACATGAAGGAGACGCAACATTGCGGTGTCCAGGTGCCCTCCCCCTCACCCGCCGAGGGCAGGGGTCAGGCGACGCCACGGACGAGCAGCACCAGCAGCGGCAGCGCCTCGAGCAGCAGCAGCAGCAGCAACTCGACCAGCTCCGTCAAATCGGAGCTGAACATGCTGATCAAGGAGACGATGCCGCTGCCCCGCAAGCTGGTCCGCGGCCAGGATGTGTGGCTGGGCAAGGGGGCGGAGCAGACGCGCCAGATACTCAAGTGTATGTGGTGCGGCCAGAGTTTCCGCTCCCTCGCCGAGATGACGAGCCACATGCAGGAGACGCAGCACTACACGAACATCATCTCCCAGGAGCAGATCATCTCGTGGAAGTCGGGCGATGAGCGTGCCCCCAACGGCAGCCAGACACAAGCCGGCAGTGCAGGTGCCACTGCCGCTGCCCCTGCCACGCCCACGGTGAGTGCGGTGCTGACGTGCAAGGTGTGCGACCAGGCATTCGGTACGCTCAAGGAGCTCAGCACGCACATGGCCCAGCAGTCGCACTACAAGGATGCCGGCTCCAGTTGCTCGGCGGTCGCCGTCTCACCGCCGCCGCTGCCAAATGCGAAACGAGGTCGCCAGCCGCGCAATGAGAAGCGCAAGAAGTCGCTGCCGGTGCGCAAGCTGCTCGAACTGGAGCGTTCCAGTTCGAATTGTAGTCTGGACTCGGCGCTGAAACCGTTGCGCGACTTTGCCGCCGCCACCAAAATCACTTGCGAGAAGTGTGGCACTAAAATTGAGACGGCCCTGTTTGTGGAGCACATCCGCAAGTGTCTCGGCGAGAGCATGCCCATACCGCCAAGAAGGCAGCAGCATCAGCAGCAGCAGCAGGCAACGGCAGCGCAGCAGGAGCAGCGACTGTTGTCCAGTCCGCCGGGTAAGCCCAATTCGAGCGGCAGCCCATCCGTGCTGAATGCGCTCGAGCAGCTGATCGAGAAGAGCTTCGAGTCGCGAGTGGGTCGCCTGGCGGGCCATGCTGGGGGGTATTCGGAGAGCGGTACTCCCTTGGGTGCTAGCATATTGAAGCGTCTGGGTATCGATGACAGCAGCGATTATACGAAACCCTTGATGGACGCCCAGACGATGCATATGCAACTGTTGCGCTCCTCATCCTCCGCTTCGTCCTACCAGGCGCGAGATCGCAGCGCCAGTGAGTCGAGCACGGCCAGTCGAGTGGAGTCCGCCTATACGCCGGACAGACAACTGCCGACGCCGCGACGCACACCCGACACGCCGGTGGCAACACCAACAACAACACTTCCAGCACCACCCAGCTGCAGCAGCAGCAATAGCAACACCACCAACACCACCACCACAATCAAATCGGAACCCTTGGAGCCGGCAGACACCTACGAGCTGGAGACAAGTTCGAGCCTCAGTCGGCATCTCATCAACGTGAAGAAGGAGTTCAGCATGGAGCAGCAGCCGATGGCGAATCCTCGCGAGAGTCCCAGCGCCAGCAGTGAACGCTCCAACACATCGCCACAGCCCGCAGCACCGCCTGCTGCTCATCCCCCCTCAGCTCTGGCGGAGAGTGGCAGTCTCCTGGCGCTCAACTCCATGTTCGATCAGCTGAGCAACGTGGAAACCAACAACAACAACACAGGTAAGTGCAGAGAACTGATTTGGGATTGGGGATTAGACGATTTAAGTGTCCACTTGCTGCTTACTGTTGATGTATATATCGGAATATAATCTCAAGAGATGGATTAGGGCAAATTCATTTACATATCTACTTTGACTCGGACAAGAAATCCGGCAAGCTTAGAGACCCGATTAGCGATTCCGTTCTAAATAGTATAAATGTGGAATTGGGATTAATTGTTAGTGTATATATCCCATAATAATACCTGGAAACATACCAACTAATCAGATTAATTACCATCGATCTTGGGAATCTATTTGTGGTTCGCATTTTGTCATTGTCCAATATAGAAATATATCTTAAACTACAGCGAATCTAGAAATATATTCCGTATGTCCAAATATATTTTAAGCTGTAGCTAATCTATCTTTCATAATCTTTAGATCTTATTAGAAATTCCAGAGACCCTTTCATTTATTCATATGACTTTCTTGCCTGGATCTCCTGGATCTGTGTAAACTAAGTCTTTAAAAAGTCGCTTGAAAATAGGTCTTTCAACTTTATTTTTAACAAATTAATCATTTCTAGAGTATGATCTATTGTTGGCTTAAATTTTGTCAATTTTCTTAAGACTAAATACCATTAAAGAAATACATTTTAAGCAATGGCTAACTTATCTCTGATGTGATTAATGGAAAATCCTTTAACATTTTAGTTTCTCTCTTAAGAGATACTTTCATCAATTTATAAGGCTTCTCATTAGCTATCCTTGTCTTGTTTTTGTAGAAATCATATCTGAAAGTTAAGATATCTCTTGAGAAATCGCTTAAGTTACTGCTATTATTGTATGTCATTCAAAAGCTGTTTTTCAACATATTTATAATTTAAATAGTCTATAAAATTGACAAAATCGAATTGGAAATATACAAGTTTTATTGATTACTAATTATTATTATTAAACTATTGAAATACCTTAAAACTTCGCTCGAATTACCTTTTATCTGTGCAAAAATTATAAGAGTATTAATTAGATTTAATTTTTAAATTTAATGCTTAATTTAAAGGGAAGATCACGCTTTAAAAAATGCTGTATACAATCATAAATGAATGAATAAATGATATGAACAACTATAATAATGATAGGCTGCCAGATATAGTAATGTGTAAATAAATTTCAAAAATAAAATAGTAATTTAATTTTAATGAATTATTATTTAAATATGCTTTTTGCTTGCTAACCCATTAGAAACCCTTTAATGCTAATAAATAGATTTTAACCCCTTTCTTTTGCTTTGTTCTCCACACACACACACTAATCAGGTGCCTACACATTATTTGCTCAATTTGCAGGACACTGTTTCAACAACAACAACAACAACAACAGCAGCAATAACAACAACAACAACAATGCAAGTGCAACAAATAAGAAGCCGAAAGCGCATCCTTTGGCTGCACTCCAAAAGCTGTGCGAGACAACAGATCCACCAGCCTCGAATACGCGTAGTGCCTCCTCGTCGTCCTCGTCGACGGGTGGAGTGGGAAATGGGGGCAGTGATTTGGTTGCGTTTAGTTGGGCCTGCAACGAGGCGGTGTTGAGCGCCAGTGCTGGGTTAACTGGTGGCGACTCCATCATCATCAAGTGCTCCTTCTGTGATACGCCCTTTGGCTCGAAGGGAGCCTATCGCCATCATCTGTCCAAGGTGCACTTTGTCAAGGACACCATCAGCAACAACACCAACTCCAACTCCACCAACACCAGCACCACAACCGGGGCAGAGTCATCATCGCCGCCACTCAAATCGCCAGCTGCTGCACACTCACCCAAAACACTGCCGCTGGCATCCCCCAAACGCTCCGCTTCCCGCAGTCCGGCTGCTGCTGCCCAACAACAACAACTGCTGCAGCAGCAGCTGCCACAAAATTCGCCGTCGCCCTACGATGAGAGTCCCCAGTCAAAGTTTCTCAAATACACGGAGCTGGCCAAGCAGCTGTCCTCGAAGAATGCCTAAGCGTAAAGTATGCCAGAGTCTAATTTACACTATGCAACAAATGTGTTGCAACAAATAAAATGACACCATGCCACAGCACACTAAATGCAACAAAGTAGCTAAAACAAAAATACAAAAAATTTTATTGTTTTTGAATGGTAAGTTTCCATATTGGTTTTGGTTTTATTTTTTTTAAAGTAATTTTGGCATATTTTAAATATTTCATTTTCACTTTTGAACTTTTGAAAGAAATGTTTTTTGTTCTGCGATTTGAGATACAATTAAATTGATTATTTTAAGTTAATAGAAATCTTACCGCTCAAAATATCTTATTACAAATTTTCGGTTTTACAAAGTTGCCACTTTTTGTGGCAGTAGTCAAAAGTTAAGCACAACACACATTTGTATTTGTTGCACACTGTAATCGAGTTCGAGTTCGAGTTTGTCGCCAGCCTGCATTGATTTCTGATCAAAACGAGAGCGATTTCTAGCTCTGCAGAGCGCTCTCTCTCTCTCTCTCTCTCTTTCCGCTCTCTTCTGCTCTCTCTTTCGCTTGAGCTCTCTCTCTGCAGCCAGATTTCCCCTACTTTGCTGAATAAGCATCAGTATTTCCCCAAGATATCGCTGCGTCTGTTTTATTTTTCCCCAAGCAAGCAAATCTACTTGGGGGGGCATTGTGACGTCACAGCACTGACGTCTTCTTGGCCAAATCGGCGCAGCTTGCCGTCGCATTCGCACTCGCGCGAATCGTCCGAAATTCAATTACCACCACTTTGACGAACTGCTGTCCATCAAAGAGCTGCACACACACACACATACGCACACACAGAGAGACGAGCACACACACACACACACACATACGTGCAGAGAATAGACAGCCACACGCGCATTGTCAGTGCAGTTGAATTGCAGGCGTGCTAAAGAGTGAGATGGCTGTAGTGTGCACAGCAGTTTGACGAAAGGCGACGACAACAGTTCGTCAAAACTGAAAAACAAACAAACACACACAGGCACACACACACGCGCGCACGTACACAAAGCAAAAGCAAAAACAAAATACAAAAGCAAACGGTTGACCCATGCGATTGGATGGAGCAACAGTGGCAGAAAAACAGCAATAACAAAATGTGGGTGGAGTGGATTGAGTGGAATCGAAACAGGTCTGAGTGCAAATTGAGTGCGAAACGAATGTGTAACGAACGAGAAGAGCATTAAATTCATTGAGTGGCATTTTGCTTGAGCAATTTACGAAATCGAAATCAATTTCATTTTTTCGGTTCCCCTGGTCAATGAGTGTGCCAAAAAATAAGAAACACAAGAGAAAAATACAAAACAAACTTAATAAATTTAATTAAAATTAAGTAATTACAAAAAATGCAACGCAGTATACGTAAAACTATGAAATAAAGAAAATCTCAACAAAAAACAAAAACAAAAACAGAAAAAACAAAAAACTTAACCTCATTTATAAATAATATTTTTGTGTTCCTTTTAAGCGAAAGATAAAAACTATTGTATACCAAGCCAAGAGGCGATAATTAGGCAACTTTGAAATACGCATTCAATAGTTTAATGTAAATAAACTTAGTAATTAGCAATTTCCTTCCAGAAAATCATATATATTTAAAATATAATAATATTATTAACTACCAATAAATAGAGTGGAAAACAAATCAAATCAAAATGTAATCACGGCAACTCATGTATACGCATAAATTATACAAACGAAACAAAAAAAAAAAAGAAAAACAAATATATATATAAATATATATATATATACTTAACAATATTAACAATTTAAAAATTATATACACATATAATTATAATTATATATGTATACCAACAACAGTTTACAACTCAAATCTCAACAATAAATAATAATAAAAAATACATTAAATATGTATTTAACCTAAGATTAAACCTAAGACTTCCAAAAATCGAAATCGAAACATGAAACTTAAAAGAAAAGAAAAAGAAAACACAACTAAAAAGTAAAAACTATTAAAGAAAATGTCAAACATTTCATTGTCATTATCAAGATCATCATCAGCAACCAGAAACTAATTTAAAAGTTCTACTTATTATATACGATTATGTACGATATATGATATATATATATGTATATGTATCTAGATATATGTATACGACTTGTATTTGAGTTTTTGTGATATTATTTTTAAAACTCCTTTCGCTTCCTTTTCGCCTAGAACTTAAGTATGTTAAACGACATGCAATAAACATTTAAATGTAACACCAACAGCAACAACAACAAACAATGTTAATTCACTTGACCACTTGAGATTTTAAAATGAACAACATATATCTGTATCTGTATCCGTATCTGTATCTGTATCTGAAACTTGAAATTCAAATCGAAAATTACCAAAAGCAACAAACAGCTTGCAAAACGGCTCAATGCAGATCAATGAATGAATTCAATAAAAAGTTGTATGTTTCAAATTGAACACATTTTTGACTTTGATTGCGGGTTGCGGCCACAAATATTATTCTCAAAAGCGGGACGAATTTTGCCAAATATCAGCTATTTATATTCATTATAAAAAAATACTTTAAAAAATGATTGAGTTTCAGAAATCAAATCAGTTATTTATTTCATTTAATATCATTATCATAAAATATAAAAATAAATGTTATTTTTGCATTTAAAAATTATTAATTTCTACAATCATTATTTGGTTTATTTTTAACATTTTTATTTAGCTGGAAAATTCTACAATTTATATGCTGCTTGTAGAAAATACTTTCTGTTTTTCAGACGAATTTTCTTTGCAGAAAATGCTTTTTTTCAATATGTTTGTTTCACAGACTTCAAAGTTCTCTTCAATGAAATGCAGCATGCTTTTTGAACTTTCAAAGTTAATAATAAAATACAACTAATAACAAAAGAATTCTATTCTTATTTTTTTAAGTGTATTTAAGTTTTAATGCTCAGCAACTGCCATGATTCACTGCTGGACTTCGGCGTCCAGTTTGGAAACGGCGAAATCCCAGTTAATTGTGGATTTCGCGGCAGGCATATCAAATTGTAAACTAATATTTGCTAATAAACACGACGAGTTAATTAAACTTGAATTATGGGCCACATCGTTATGTAACTAAGGTCGAAAAGGGGGCGTGGTGGGGGAGGACTCGTGGAACAGGAACAGGAACATGCGCAAAATGCGAACGCGATTCGCTGATTTATGGCCAACAAAGGATTAAGACGCGACACCAGCGAACGCCCACAGATACGAAACTTCATATATGCCACACACACACACACACACACACACACACAGTCTGCATGTGTGTGTGTGTGTGTGTGTGCTTGTCTCGCATCTATTGCGACACTGATGACGATCTAAAATGCCAACGAAATCTCCTCGAAAACTTCAATTGCCAAAGGATTCATTTTCACTTAAAATTTATGATGTGTTTCGTGTTTTGTGTGTGGCATGGAGACGGTCACACCCCCAGGCGAGAAGTGCAGAAGCGTGGAGCGGGGGGGTTGGCATGGTGTGGGTGTCATTTGGTGTCACATTTGCGTTAAGAGATAATTTTTGTGGCAAATGTTTCACAAAACTTTTCCGCCTGTTTCAGTTTTCATTGACGGCTCGTTTTGCGTCGCTTTTTCTTCTAGCACAACGCACACACACACACACACACACACACACACACATACCTTTGGGCCGGCAAATGTTCCCACGACCAGCAACTCTATAACTGCCCCACCTCCTTGCAAACCCTTGCCCCAAGCCCCGGCCACACGTTGCTGCTGCTGTTGCTGCTTCTGCTTCTGTTTCGCTTAATGAGATACAAACACATAAATTCTCAAAAGTGTCATGCATCGCAAATAACGGTTTACTTTTTTGCCTGCTTTTGATAAGCCAACAAAACTGCCTTCATTCACTCAGTGAGTGTGTGTGTGTGTAGTGCTTAGATATGTATATAAAATGGGTATATATATATATATGCATATATATATGCTCGAGATGGCAATATCAAATTTGTATACTAAACCAAAATGCATCTGATTATCTCCAGTTGTAGTAAATCATATGGCCAAAAGTATAAGTTATATATAAATTTAATATATATATGTATATATATATATAGTTATATAATATAATATATTCACACTTAGAAATGCTGCTTGAATATAAATTTAACTTTAATTTTACACTTTTCCTTAAGATTTGATAATATTTATTAATTGAATCTGGAATCTTGAGATCTTTTGCTGAGCTCCTTGTTGCTGGTGATCAGATTTGTATTTGTTATTTATTTAATTATTTATATATTTATTTATATATATTGTTTTCAAGCTATAAATATAAATAAATTGAATTAAAATTCTTCTACAGAATATATAAACTTTTATTACACTTTCCATAAGGCTAAAATAGAGTATTTAATTCCCACTGCTTCTTGGTTATTTGTGTATTTAGCTGAATTAACATTCAACAATATATATTATTATTATAATAATAAAAAGAAGATCCTAGCAGTGCAACTATTTCTTGGATATCTTAGTGATCACTCTGAGACTCGATCGTAATTTTGTCATCTATTTTAACACCTTCAGAAGCAACAACCCCTTTAGTCATCATCAAGATCTGTCGTCAAATTAGAAGAAAAAATAGCAAGAAAAAAGCAGAATGCTTGAGATAAACGTACACAGGAATATTTTAGTAATTCGTTGAGCAAAAAACATACGCAGACAACTGAAAGAAACGCCTTCCATTAGCCACCACCAGAGAGGACTAATGAGACTAACACACAGACAGACCAGGACTCGGGCAGGACTCGGGAAGGGCTCGGGGCAGGGCAGGGCAGGGCAGGGCAGGGCGACAAGCGCCTGCAGTGTGAACAGCAAAACTTTTGCAAAAGTGTCAGAAAATGTGAATGCGATTGTAAAAGGGGATGACGAAGAGGGCGGGGGTGGGGCGGGAGGCTGGGCTGGCATCCGGTGTGGGTAATGTGCCGAGGTAAACGCCAGCAAACGAGATGGATGATATCTAGACGAATGATGCATGAGTCGCAATGGGGACAGGGACAGGGGCGGTGGCAGCAGGCAGCAGGCAGGAGGCAGAGGCGCCATTGCCTGCCAGTGTTGTCATGTGTATTCCAGTGTTGGCAGTGCTGTA